AAAGAAAAAAGATGAAAAGAATTGGAGAAAGGAGATAAAGAAATAATATGATGAGAAGAAAAGGAGTATTAAAAAAAAAAATAAAAGAAGAGGATGATTGAAAAGAAGAAATAAGTAATAAAAGGATAGAAAGTGAAGAGTTGGGGGGATTAAATACATGAATTAGAAAGAAGAAGTGAAAGAGTAAGAAAGAGAGAAGATGAGAAGAAAAGACAAAGGAAATAAAAGAAGAGGAAGAGAAAGAGGATTGGAGAGATGAAAAAATTAATAGTTCGAGTGTTTCACAAGAAACAAGACGAAAAGATAGTAAGGAAGATAGAAGAAAAAGGGAGTAAAGGAGTGTTTGTAAGAGAAAAGCCAGTTTTTTGTATGCCAAGGAATGGGAATCGAGTTAAAGGACTTATAGATGGAGAAGAAGCGATGAAAGAGATAGGGGAGAGTATAGACCAAGCGAAAGAGAGTATATATATAACAGATTGGAGAATAGATCCTGAGATAATTTTAATAAGAAGAGGAGTCCATTGGCTAAAAGGAAAGACATTAAAAGAAATACTTGAGAAGAAAGGAGAAGAAGGAGTTAGTATTAAAATAATAATATATGAGTCACCATTTTTTATGGATGTTGTCAAAGGAGAAAAAAAGAGAAATATCTTAGAAGAAAAAGAGAAGATAGAGTGTTATTGTCATAAATGGATGATGGGATATAGTCAACATGAGAAAACAGTAATTGTTGATCATAAAATTGGATTTTTAGGAGGGATTGATTTAGCACAAGGAAGGTGGGATACAAGAAGACATTTTATAGAAGCCGACATTAAAGAGAAAGGAGAAGAAATATTTAAAGAAGAATGTTATAATACAATGATAAATAAAGAAGAAAAGCAAGAAAAGATCCGATTACCATGGCATGACATTCATTGTAAAATAGAAGGAGAAGCAGTTAATGACATAGAAAGGAATTTTATAGAGAAATGGAATAAAATATGTAAAGTAGAAGAAAGAATAATAAAACAAAAAGAAGGAAGAAAGGAAATAATTGGGACGATGTCAGTTCAAATAGTTAGATCTAATTCAAAAGAAGCAGGAGGGAGATATAAAGTTGAAAGAGGATGTTATGAAGGAATAGTTAGAATTATTGAACGAGCTGAACATTATATTTATATTGAAGAACAATTTTTTATTTCCAATTATGGAAGTAAAAGAATATGGAATTTAATAAGTTTCATAATTGGGAATAAAATAATTGAAGCATATAGAAAGAAAGAAAAGTTTAAAGTAATTATTGTAGTTCCACTATGGAGTGAAGGAGAATTAGAATCAATCATTGTTAAATCTATTATGGAATTATTTAGAAAAACAATCATAAGTGGGAAATTAAGTTTAATTCAAAGAATGAAAAAAGAAGGGATTAAAGATATAGAGGAATATCTTAAAATATTAACACTTTATACATTTGGAAAAAAGAAACAAGAAGGAAAAGAAGTAATTGTTGGGTCACCAATTTATGTTCATAGTAAATGTATTATTGTTGATGATCAATATGTTTTTATTGGAAGTGCTAATATTAATGATAGATCACTTATAGGAGAAAGAGACAGTGAAATTGGAGCAATTATTGTTGATTCCAATAAAATTCAAATTTCAATCAATGGAGAAAGAAAATTTGTTAATGAATTTGCATTAAATCTTAGAAGTAGAATTTGGGCAGAACATTTAAATCTAGAAGAGTCTCAAATTAAAATGGTTGAAGATCCTATTAAAAGTATTGAGAAAGTCATTTGTCCTATTAGTGAGAAAAACACAAAAGTTTATGAACGACTCTTTGAGTACTTTCCATCTAATAAATATCCTAAATTTGTTGACTGTAAAAAACATCTTTATCCACCATTAATAGGTGATAAAAAGGAACTAAAAGACATTAAAGGACATTTTATTAAATTTCCAATAGGATTTGGAAAAGAAGAAAAAGCATCTCTTGGAGTTGGGAAAGTAATGGTAGAATAAGGAAGAAAAAAGAAATCTTGGATTGATTCGGGATGAAAGAATTAAAAAGAGAACTAAGAAAGACAAGAACAAAACAAATGGAAGAAAGTGAAATGATAGAAGTAAGAGAAAGAAAATATGGAAAACGAAGAGGTCAAAATCAAAAGAAAATTAAAATAGAAAATATATATAAACTTTGGGAAGGGAATGGAATGGTGTATATGATTATGAAAGAAATCAGCAATATAATACGTATTTCAATTATTGCAATTATAGTTAGTGTAATTTGTTTTTATAATTTTAATTTTTTTAATAAAAGTGAGAAAATAATTATTGAAACATGGTGGAGATGGTTAATATTTAGTATTAATGGAATAATGGTTGTAATTATGAATATTAAGTATTGTATTGGGATTATTAAAATAATTAAAAAATATAAATCAACAAGGGATTTTTGTAATCAAAAAGAAAGTCAAGAAATATTCAATAATACAGAGTGGGATGATTCAAATAATAAAAAAGGGATTTGTTATCAACTTAATACAGAAGAAGGGAAAAAAATTCGGAATGAAATAGATATTTTTAATGGAGAAATAGAGATAAGTGAAAAAGAAATAGAACAACGAATTCTACAAAAGATATCATTTAGAGATGATGTTATATCTACTATTCTTAGAAAAGTATTTAAAGAAACAGAACAAGACAATATAAGAATTCAATCTATTCAAAAAGTCTGTCAAACAAAATATTTTATTAAATATTTAAATAATGTTTTAAATAAAACAACAAAAGAAATATTTTTAACAACACCAATTAATACAACAACACCAAATAAATTTAGTTATGAACATTATTTATATTTAAAAGAATATGAAGAAATGAGATTTATATTTATTGAAACATTTAAAAGAAAATTAATAATCAATTTCAATAATAAAATGATTATTAGTTTTATAGGAAGTATCTTTAACATTATTTTTAATATTATTGAATTTATTTTACAAGACTTTTCTATAATTCTTAATAATACATGGTCATATGGAGGAATTAAATTTTTACATCAAGTTGAATTTAATCATAGTCAAAAATATCATCTTAACAAAGCACTTAAACATGCAAAAAATATTATAGATAGAAAAAGAAGTGTTAAATATAAAAAAATCATTGTGAAAAATATTAAATTTATACTTATTGGTGGGTTAATGATTATGTTAATTCTAAATTTCAATGGAATTGGAATAGAAAATATTGAAATTGATGGATCAGGGATATTATCTTTTTTAAGTCCATTCAAAAATTTCATTACTACAGGAATTATAGTGTTTTTTATTGTTTTTGTAACACAATATTCTAATGAACCTGATTTAACAACATCTTTTATTGAAGAAAGAAATAAACTTGAGGCATTATTAAATTATAATTTTCCTTCTACTGGTAACAATGGAATTAATAATCTTAGTAATTTTTATTTGCCTGGCTATTGTGAAATGTGTTTGAATGAATTATTTGCACCTTTTAGTACTATAAATTTGTTGAGAAAACAAGAAAATAGAGTGTTATTTGGAAATGGATTAAATGAAATATGGTATGATGAGAGATTTACTAAGGAAGATAGTCCTTATACAAACACTCATTTTGAATTAACTCAATTTTTATAATCTTTTTTTTTTAGTATTTAAGTGGGATTTTGTTTATTTTATCTAAAACATCTTTGTAATTCTAAAATAACATTTCAATTTAAATGATTATGACTATCCTCTTCTTCTTCTTCATTTAATTTATTGAACTTAAATATTATAATTGCAAATAAAAATGATGCAAAATATGAAATACATCCATTCATTAAGGAATATGCTATTGGCTTCCATATTAGATTCTTTATACTTCTTTTATCTTCATGTATTCCAATAACCATTATTGTTTCTATAATTTCTTCAATATCCTCTTCTTTATCTTTTAAATTGTATATCATATTATCACTTAGACCTAAAAGTATTCCACAACTTCCTCCTATGAGCCAACTTGACCAACTCCATTGATAATTCTATTGAATGGTTATTTCTTATTTTCTTTTATTTTTATTCAAATCAATTCAAACTTCTATTTGTAATTGAGAAAATATTCTTATCCATGTTATTAATATCATCAACAGATTACTTAGTATATTATTGATTATTATTATTCCTTGTTTTCCTGAATTATTTGTTTTCATCATAATTGTTTTACCTTGATTCTCTTGAATTGTCCATAACTTTATAAAATAGATAATAATTCCACAAACTATTGCTTTAAAATAGTTTGAATGAATAAATGTTTGTTGTTGAATTGGTCTTGGAATCAAACTCTGTTTTGTTTCTTTTATTTGATTTCCAATATAATATCCAATTATTGTCATCATACTAATCATCAAAATTATCATTCCAATACTTATTATGTTTATTTCATTCAATATTACTATTATTATTACTATTTGACTAATACCTGATATTCCTATTGTTTTGATATGTTTTATTTTCCATTGTTTTGTTAATTTCCCTATTATGATTGAGATAATTCCTGAACAAATAATTTCTGTTATTATTATTATTCTTCTTATTCTTTCAACTGTTTTTATTTCAAGTATTTCACTAAGAATTAAACTACAATGGCAAAAATATATTCCTATTCCAATTGAATTGATTATCATTAATATGATCGCATGTTTTGGTTTATAAAATATATGTCCTAGAATATTCTTATAATTCTCTATTTCTTGTTTTCTCGCTTTATGTATCATTTTACATAAACAAAATATTGTCATTCCATTCCCAAATAGTAATATTACCATTAACAAAATATATTCAATTCCTTTTTCTTCTTCTATTGGATTGTCAATATCATTAATTGTGGGATTATCAATTCCTTCTTCCATATTTCTTTTCTTAGTTTTGTGTTTTTTTGATTTATTTCTTCTCTGTTTTTATATTTTTCTTGTTTTACTCCTTAATTATTTCTCTTCTACTCATCTTTTTCCGTTGATAACCTTCTTTCTTCATATCCATCATTTTTTACCTCTCACTTCTTCTCCGGTATTTTTGTGCACTTGACTCTCCCTATAAACACTTTATTCAAACCATCTTATTCTTCTTATTTCGTCATCCGTCTTTTATGACTTTCTTGTTCTTTCTTACCGTAGAAAACTGAAGAAAAGAATAAACAACAAAACACAAAATGGCTTGTCACATCCTTTGATAACATGTCGTTCTTAACTCATCAACAAAGAAGTGAGGTTTATCACTACCAAAAAATTAATGAAATTGCTAAAATACTTTCAAGACTATCATCAGACTTTATTATTCATTATTCAATTTGATACTAAAATCCTATAAATGCTCAATACAACGATTTGAATAGAAGCTTTTATTATTTAAAATGAAAGAATATTATTCTTGTTTATTCTATTTAGTCATTTGTTTTTGCTGATTTTTGTTTAAGACTTAAAACACTTTGTCATTAAAAATGACACCAAAATTGTGAAATAGAATCTTGTTTATGGTGTGGGTTTTTAATAAAACCAATACAACGTATCAAATTAAATCAATATCCACTTACATTGTTTTTATTATTTGTGTTTATTGTCATTTTAATTTGTGTCATTATCATTCAGCAAGAAGAGTTAATCTTTATGAGGTGAGAACAATCTTGCAATGGTGAGGAACAAAAGTATAATACACTTGATAGGAAAAGACAAATGGAAAACTTAATAGAATGAAGAAAAGACGTTTTACCTATGGAAATTAAAGAGATGAAAGAAATAGAAGAAATAAAAAGATAGAAGATGATTTGAATGAAATAATAGAAGAACATGAAAAGAATAAACAAGAAATAAAGAAATAAACATAAAGTGTAAAATTACAAAAAAGAAGGAATGATACAAATGTTATCAAGTTATGAACTAAATACAATAAGTAATAAAATGAATATAAAACTGAAAGAGATTATAGAAATAATAGAAGAAAGATGATATAATGAATAGAGAAGAAGAGAGTATAAAAGTGATGAAACGGTTGAAATAACAATATTTCATTTTCTAATAGAAAGAAATAATGATAAAACAAAAAGAGGATTAATTGATATTAAGAATATGAATATAAAACAACATATAATACTTAACATTTTTAGTATATTATGTGATAAAAGGATTTATCATAATAATAAAGAATTGAAAAGAATGTTGAAATAAAGAATGTATCAAAAAGAATATAAAAGAAATACCATACTTCTGAATAATAAGAAACAAACACAAATCTATAAGAGTATAAATGATGAAATTAAAAGTCAAGAAGGAGAATAATCGAATGTACAAACAATATATAATTAATAAGAAATAATAAAATGAAATTCATTGATATCAACAATAGATGTAAAATTAATTGTGCATGAACATGTTGTCACAACAAAATAATAATAAGATAATGATGAAAATATATGTAAAAGTAAGAAGTGATGAAAAAGAAATATATCTGATGATTAATTCAAAGAATGTAATTATTAAATGATAAATCTTATGATGAAGAAAGAATGACAAAGTGAGTGAATAATACTTAATAATTGTCTGTATGATTAATAAAAAGAAAGAACAAGTAGAACAGATGAAATAAAAAAAGAATGAATCAAAATGATGAAAGAAATTGTAATTCAAAAAGATAAAATGTATATTATGAGAGAAGTAGTAAAGTATGACTTTTCTTATAAACAATAACAACATCACCAATAAGTTAAAACGAATTGACTTCACATAAATTGATAAAATGAAATTATTTATCTCAATAAATAACTTATTAATGAATTTTGATGATTTATTGAAATGAAAAATAACAATGAATTGAATATATTAATCAAACAATTCTATTGAATGACTCTATCATTCATAACTAACTTTTATTACTCAATTGTAATATCATAATGCCTTGTTCATAAAAGAAAATATGATTGACTTTTATTTTATCATATCTTCATCTTTATTCATTTCGTATTTACTATTGAAAGATTCATTACGAATATATCACACAGAAAATAACACAATAACAAAAGAAGAGAAATTCATATCAATGAGAAATATAAATAACAGAAGAATGTGTTAAAATAAGTGTTATTTGATTGTGAAGAAATGCAACAGTTATCACATTAAACACTCCCATAATAATCACATCATAACAACTCCATCATGAGGTTCATTTCCTTACAATTTCATTCATTCTCATAGTCACAAGTATTTCAACAATACTTCCAGTAGAAACAAAGAGCAGTGTCATAACAGAAACAAATGTCATAATTAAACAAAATGAAGATATAAAGAATATCAAAATAGAGAATGAGGCAAATAGAAATGAAAGAAACGATAGAAATACAGAATCAAGAATAATTGAAGAATCAAAGAGGAGAAGTTAAAAATTTATATCACAAGAAAAGGAAGAAACTCAAAACATCAAGACTAAATTCTTTAATCAACAATATGGAGAAGATAGTATTTTCTTTCATGAGAAACAAAATGAATAAAAAGCAAGAAGATAAGAAACAAGTACACCAGTTGAATTAAGTGATAAGTAATGAAAGAACAATTATATATGACTAATGAAAAGAACAATAAAGAGAAGCATGGTATGAAAAGGGAATGCAAATGATGCAAGAATAGAAGAGAATGTCAAAGAGAAAGAATAAATTAAAGAATGTGAAGAAGTACATTTTATTCATTACCATTACATTAAGAAGAATATCCATCAAATAATTAATATAATATCAAAATTAAGATATGGATTTGTATTATCAAATACAAACTATGTGAATCGGAGAAGAGAGATAACCAAATAAGAAATTCATTATTACATCTCAAATTATATAACAGTATGATTAAAAACACTAAAATTACATCCCATTTTCAATAACATATGACAAACAACAACCTCAAAATCATGAAATATTTAATTTTATACAAACTCAATTGTGATACTATATGAAATGAAGATTATTCTAATTGGATTGTCTTTGAATGAAACTCTATGTTAAAAATACATGTTATTGATGAAACTGAAATATTCACCTCTCAATATGTTGAAAAAATATATTTGTAGATATACCCATTATTTCATCTTTTTTTCTTTTAAAAACTACTCAATTATCTTTGTTTATTTCTTGTTTACTATTTGTTGTGTTTCTTCTTGAAGT